GGGCGGAGCAGCGCGGCCCCGGCCACAGCGGGCTCCGGGGAGCTCGGAGCCGTTCCCTAGTGGCGGAGGCCTTAGGGAGCCCCCATCTGGGAGAGGGAAAAACAAAAGGCCGCCTTAGGCTGTGCGTTTGCCGAGACAGACCCAGAGAGCCGTTACAGGATTTTTTTTAAAGCAGCAAGATACTAACGTGTTGTTACACGAGATAAAAAATTAGACCTATAAGGTGTCTTTGTCTTGGATGTACAAAAGTCAATGTCAGTGACTTCTCGGGCATTCTGGTTCTTGAACATCCTTTGTCACATCATCCACGGTTTGAAACTTTGCTGTCATAGCAGCTTCAGAAATTAAGTAACTATAAGAATTTGTTTCATTGTTATTGGGACACCTAAAAAAACCTTTCTGGCCTGTTGAGCTGCCATAGTAGTGCTTCATGGGTTTCTGTGTACCTTTTCTCTGAGAATCTTTTTTAAAATTTGCAAATATGGGTGCAAATTAATGCAGTGAAGAGTGGGAGGGTTGGAACTAGATGATCTTTAAGGTCATTTCCAACTCAAACCGTTCTATGATTCTATGTCTCTGGTTGCAGGCTTTGACATGTTGTGTTCTGTAAATGGTTTCCTTGCCTGTTAGATAATCTAGAAAGGAAAACAAGAAGATAGGAAGGTGTGTTACAAGTGAAACTATTTCCCTTCTGCTCATAATTAATATTTTTGCTTCTGTAATGCTATTTATCACCCTTTCATCAGTTTTCTCTGTTGAATTCCTAGTGGATCCTTGTCTAGAGACTATGTCTATAGGCTTCTAGGGAGTAATTAACATGTGTTTGCTGCAGTGGCTTTATATGTACCTTAAGGAACACTTGAAAGTGAAAACTATTCCAACTACTTTAGTATCAGGATATGCTAACGTAGATGTATTTAAAATATGGAAAAATCATTATTTAACTTTTCTCTGAATACAGATTCTATGGATACCCTACATTTTACAGTTAGCTGTGCCGGCAGCACTGTGTTGCAGAATTAAGACTTTCTACTTGAGCTCTTTTCTAAACAAGTACATAACTCTTGCTTGCTAATAATGAAAAGAGACCCTGACCAGCTGAGTATAGGTCATGTTGGGAGTTTGTCCGTGAGAGTGAACAGATAAGATGCTTCTTGTATCCAAGATGTGCATGGGAGTGAAGCGGAGAGTATGATCAAATCAGACCTGGGAAAGTCTGTTCTCCCTGTGTGATAAGAGAGTGATTGAAGGAGCACACGAGCTAATACCAACCCTGGCTGTATAGTCTGGTCTCTTGTTTGTAACCCACAAATAGTGCTTCTTGCTAATAAGTATAAATATGTGTGCTTGCTTGCAATAAAGCAAATTCCATTTTCCACCATCTCGGAGTTCGTGCGTGCTTCTCCACAAGATTCATAACATTAGATAATATAAAACAGCATAATAGAAATGCAAACTGCTCTTTGGCATGAGAAAGAAGGGTCATGTTAATCAAACAAGTTGCATAAAGTTTTGTTCATTTTTAATTTCCAAGTTTGGTAGTAACCTTCATACTATTATTATTAAGGGAAAATGTCCTGAAGACGGATGGGATGAAAGCACCATTGAACTGTTTCTTCATGAACTTGCTATAATGGATAGCAATAACTTTCTGGGCAACTGTGGTGTGGGTGAGAGGGAAGGAAGAGTGGCGTCGGGACTAGTTGCCCGAAGGCATTACAGGTACACATTACTGGTGATTTTGAGTTATTCAGATTTGTTATTAATGCTTTCAAATGGCGTACTTTGTTGTATCCTGTTATCTGAGTCCTTGATAGTAATTGAGAAAAACAATATAATGCAATATTGAGTTGGTACAACTTTCTGTATTGAATTTTCATTTGTATCTCATTGGAAGATCTTGAATGAAAGAAAAATCTTTTGTCAGGATTATATCCTGTGTGCTGAACTGGTAGAACTGGCAGAAGCTTAAGATGTTGAGTTGACTGTGTGCAAGGGAAGCAGACATCTTCCTGTTTTAAAATAATATATGCATTACTTGCCTTTTTTAATACTGGAGAACTTTTCATCTGTATTTTATTAAAATCTACTGCGTATTGTAGTTACGAAGTACAAAATCTTCCTAGTGAACAGTTATTTGTATTTGTTATATTCAATAATATCTTTATAATAATGTGGTTAGCTGATACGCACGTGAAAATACAGCTCATCTATAATATGTTTTATATGAGGAGGTCTATAAAGATAAGAAGAGCTTTTAATAGCATGTAGCCCTTCTGACACTTGATGGGTGTGTTGGATGCTCTGCATTAATTTCTTCAGGGTTTGGGGTGATTTTTTTTCGTTTGTTTTGGGGTTTTTTTGCATAGAGTTCTCTGCTGAGTACTTTGCTATGGTGTATTATCTAACAGGAATGAAACAAAGTGAAATGTCCTGGAACGTTTCTACTTGACTGATTAACATGAAAGCATATTAGAGACTAAAATTTTAGTAAACTTTGCCATATGCAGGTTCAATTACTTAGGGTTAATGGCTTTCAGAAGCCCCACAGTACCATGAAAAATTAGTGAAGAAAGCAAACAATACATCAGTTTGGCTTGTTTGTTTTCTGTTCTGCTCTCTAATCTAGGATATGTGTGGTGAGGGAGGTAGAGGGTCACACGAGAGAGTGTGCAAGGGAGTATTGCTTTCTGACAGTGCTGGAGAGACCGTGCCCAGCTTCTGGCCAGAGAGAGCCTGGGCTGGCATTTAGCTACGGTGGTTCTGACACAGCTCTGTCACCCGGCATCTTGCCTTCACCTGTGAGCGTCAGCAATATCAAGGAAAGCTGTAGCGGCATCCTCCACTCCAGTTACTTCTGTAGTATGTTCTACAGGTAACTTTAGGAGTGATGGAGGTAGCGGGAGATGGTTCCCAAGCTGTCTTTCATGTTACTGAATTCTAAGGGCAACTCTTAGGGAGGATTGCTCCTTAGGAAGGTGTATGTATGTGTAGAAAAGAAAAAGTGCTAGTATGAGAAAGCTATTAAGAACATAGCAGCAGAAATGAGTGGAGAAAATATTTTTGGTGGAGTGAGTTGCATGCAAGTTTCAATTAATTATCAGACTGTTGTTGATTTTGACCTATCGCATGAAATGGGGGCGAAAAGGAAGCTGTAAAAAAACGGTGCAGAAAGTACTGAATTCCACACACTCATCAGACTGCATTTTACTCTATTCACAAGACAAAAAGAGAATTAAAGCCAGAAATAGATGTGTATTGTTACTAGCTTACTTGAGCAGCTCCTGCGTTTCAGACATGGCTAAAGTTAGTTCTGTGAGCGCTTATTTTATAAGTGAATTCAGGATCCTCTGCTTCTGAAAGGGGCTGAGTAGCATCCACCATTCCCAAACACAGTTTATAAGTATAACTTATGAACGCTTTATAAGTCTAATTTATAAACAGAATGCAGAGAGAGATGGTATTGCATGATATGTAATACTGAATAGCGGACTGAGGCAGATGAAATGAGGATGTAGAAAAAGATGGGCAAAGTGATACAGTAACCTGTCTTTCAGGACATTTTGTGACAGTATATATTCTTTCTTTACCCTGTGGAGATGAAGTATTTGCCATGGGAGTATCTGTATAATGTCACTATGCCTGTGGTATGCTACACTGTAGGCAACTGATTGTTTTCCTTGGAGTTGTGTGTCTGAATATGTCAGCCTTTATAATGCTACTTTAACAGACATCAAGAAGTGCTGAGGTGTGCTTAAAAAGGAGCCTGCCACATACTAACATTGTTGCTACTGTGGATCCTCTCAAAGTCTTTGGTTTCATACTGGAACATTGTTAATCTACTGTTAAACAAAAAAGACGGTTTCTTATGGATATACGTACTTTGTTAGGTTGGAACTCATTATGGCAGATGTTGATGTTGCATTGGATACAGCATTTTCCACAACTGTTGATCAAATTAAATTATCTTGAGTGAGAAGAACTATTGCTTTGTTCTGTGAAAAACTTGATATATGTTTTCAACCTTTTTTGTTTAGGTTGATCCATGGAATTGGAAGGTCGGGTGATATTTCTGCAGTCCAGCCTAAAGCTGCAGGGTCTAGCCTTTTGAACAAACTTACTAATTCGGTAGTTCTGGATGTTCTAAAGCTGGCTGGTAGGTGTAAATCTGAAAATATCTCGGTTTTGGGGGCATGCCATGAGTTATTTTCTGACTCGCTTTTTCTGTGCAGGTGTCCGGACAGTGACCAGCTGCTTTGTGGTTCCTATGGCAACTGGCATGAGTCTAACTCTGTGTTTTTTAACATTGCGGCACAAGAGACCAAAGGCAAAATACATTATTTGGCCACGTATAGACCAGAAATCTTGCTTTAAGTCAATGATAACTGCAGGTAAGAAGGAGCTGACTGATTACACAGTGTATTCGTATGACTCCGTCTAGAAGAGTGATAAACTCATATGCTTGCAGTAAGATCTGGAAAAGGCCTAGTGTGTAGTAGTTTTAAGTGCTTTATTTGTACACTCATGATTTCTAACATGCCATCGCACATGTGAATTGTCTTCTTAATGCCTAATAAATTGTAAGTGTATGCTGAGGTATGGAGGTGTATTCAGTAGTCAACAGAGAACACAATACTAAGGAAGTTATAGTTCACTCTGAGTTAGACGCCCAGTTTGCTGTGATTATGTAGAGCCAAGGCTCATGGTTCAAGCCTCTCTCTCAGATCTACGCAAAAAGGAGGTGTCTTAGGAATTGCAATCAGAAGGTGACAAGCTGTCTGATTTGCACATTCTTTTCTTGTAGAACTTGGCAAGTGTTAGCTGCCCTATTTGTTTTTAATCTTGTGTCACTCAGCTCACTCAGGAAATTAGTTCGGTGCCGTTCTCGGTTCGAACCTTGATTTCTTTTACTGGACTAAAAGTAAGGTAAAGGTAGAAGTCTGTCCCTGCACTGAAGCTGTCCCCTCCTGCAGACAGCTGCATGGGATCAAGGAAAGGGCGAGTAAGGGAGACCACAATTTTCCGTCTCAGTGCACATACCTGCAGGTGGTGGCTTAGATTCTGGTCCTAGTTCCTAGGACAGATTTATTTTTTGTACTAAAGACTCATTAGATAAAAATGACTAAACAATTGGAAGCATGGACTGAATTCTGTCAGGATAAGGTGCAGAGGTGTTTAAAAGGAGTCAGATCAGAACAAATAGAACATGGATATAAGAATATTATGCTCAGTTTATAAGAGTATTATGCTTTCAGAATATTATGCTCAGTTTAGAATGTCAGGCTAACAAAATTATGTTTGTAAGGAGGTTTTGAGGGAATAAAATTGATCTGTTTATTTTTTGAGTAAACAGATAGCTATCACATCATGAAAAGAACGAGAAGCAGGTAGCAGATACCTAACAACTATCTATTAAATGCAATCTCCATCTTCTAGATCACTGACTGAAAACCAGGCTAGAGCTAACAATGTTGGTAAATCATTCTAGTCCAAGTTCTTCTGTGATTTTTGAGGCTTACGTGTCAGTTTTAAGATATGGTGTTGAGCCATGAAGGAAGCATTGACAGAGCTGCTGCCGTATTACACTGCTTTGGAAATCACTCTTTTCCCTCCTGCTGTCCTTTACTTTCTCTCACTAAACTGAACATCTCTCGGTTTTTTAAGAAAGTGACTTGAGCTACATGAAGTTGCTGCCTTACCAGTCCTGATTGGATAAGGGAATATATGGTTTCCACCGTTTTATTCTGTAAACAAAACCTTATTTATTTATTTATTTATTTATAAGCTAGAAATTTGAGCAACTACCATGACAGGCTTCCCTCTTTAAGAAACAAAACTGTTTCTTTGCTAGGTTAGGTCAACCATTTTTTGTCCAGCTGAATCTTTAAAATCTGTGAGGATGGAGATTTTACAACCTCTCTGGATAGCCATTCCAGTGCAGTACCGTCCTCTGAACGAAACAAAAAATATATAAAAAAAGAAAAAGTATTTTCTTGCTGTTTATTTTGAACCTCTCAAGCCAAAATTTGCTGCTGTTTCCTCTTACATCCTATGAAATAGAACAGAACAGTTGGAAGGGACCTACGAGGACTGTCTGGTCCAACTGTCTGACCAATTTAGGGCTGACCACGTTAAAGCCTGTTAAGGGCTTTGTCCAAATGCCTCTTAAACACTGTCGGGCTGGGGACATTGACTGCCTCTCTAGGAAGCCCATTCCAATGTTTGGCCATCCTCTCGGTAAAAAATACTTCCCAAAATTCACTCTGAATCTCCCCTAGTACGGCTTTGAACCATTCTCATGTGTCCTATTGCTGGATGCCTGGGAGAAAAGCTCAGCCCCTCCCTCTCCCCTCCTCAGGGAGCTGCAGAGAGCAGTGAGGTTACTCCTCAACCTCCTTTTCTCCAGACCAGAGAAGCCCGAAGTCCTCAGCCCCTCCTCACAGGACATGCCTTTCAGCCCTTTCACCAGATTTGTTGCTCCTCTGGATGCATTCAAGGAACTTCACATCCTTCTGAAATTGTGGGGCCCAGAGGCCATTTCATGTAGTCGGGGGCTGCTATTAGATGTTCTCCTCAGCCTCTTCAGGTTTGAAAAATCTAGCTCTTACAGCCTTTCTTTCTAAGCTGTGCGTGCTATACTGCAACGATCTCAGTAGCCCTCAGATGGACCCTCTCTGTTTTTTCAACATCCCTCCTGAGTTGCCCGTTCCAAAACTGGAAACGTTCCAACATTTAGAAGGGGATAACTTCCTTTTTTCCAAATGTTTCTCATATGTGTCCTTGAGAAAAACCTTATGAGGTTCAACTGTTGTACATCTTAAATACAAACTTGAAGTGGAAATTTAAAAAAATGAAAGACCTGGGAAAAAGATTGGATTTTATGAGATGACAAAGTTCACCTTCAGAATGAGGTCAAACATGGACAGTTTTATCTTTTAAGAAGTAACTTGGAGGTTTATAGATTGAGTAAGACAGAGGCTTATGATGAAAGCCTATTCATAGTCATCATTATTGCATTGCCACATCTAATAGCATCCTTCTGTAGAGAGTCTGGTTTAGTGTGCTAATGTTTTACAAGAATGTCACTCAAACACTTACTTTTTAATTGGGAGAGAAGAGATTAATCTGTTTTTAAAACAGTCTTCAAAGCTGTTGCTATTGCATGCAAAGAATGTCAGGTAAGCTTTTTTTTCCTGGAGTCCAGTATTTAACAAGAATATTATTCTAGTTTATAGTTATATGGAACTTGTACACTAATCTATTTATTTTTTTATCTGTGTTCTTAATCTAAGTCTGGAAGAATCTGTTAAAACGACAGACGCAAGAATGTTTTCGGGAACTGAAACTAAAAATCCAAACTGGAACTGAAAACCCAGAATTAGAGAATGGATGATGTACATTCAAGTCTTGCTTTTTTTTGATCAGGTTTTGAGCCTGTGGTAATAGAAAATGTATTAGAAGGTGATGAGCTACGGACAGACATGGAAGCAGTGGAGGCTAAAATCAAGGCTCTTGGTGCCGAAAATATTCTTTGTGTGCATTCTACAACCTCTTGCTTTGCTCCAAGGGTACCTGATAGGTAAGTAGACTTTGTAAAAAGTGTTTTATTTGTTACTGCAAAAAAACCAACCCCACGGACTAAATTTGCCTGTTTTGAGTGTCCATCTTCCTAACATTGCTTAATTACTGCCAACAATTAGCAAAGGTACTTTAATCTCCTTGCTTAAAGAAAATGACATGTTGAAACAATGTTCTACTTTCAGACAAGTATATTAAAAAAGTGAGAGTAATGCATAAGGTTTTCCTTTTTTTCATAAAACTGGGGTTAATATCTTGTGGTGAAATTAATGTAATTTTGGCAGCTACTCGCAAAACCTGTTTCTTTATTTGCTCATGAAAATAAGCATCAAGAAACCTAGAATGTCAGGGGTTGGAAGGGACCTCTAGAGATCATCTAATCCAACCCCCCTGCCAGAGCAGGATCCCCTAGGGCAGCCACACAGGAACGCAACCAGGAGGATTTTGAGACTCCGCAACCTCTCTGGGCAGCCTATCCCAGTGCTCTTTCACCCTCACAGTAAAGAAATTTCTCCTCGTGTTGAGGTGGAACTTCCTGTGTTCTAACTTAAACCCGTTATTCCTTGTTCTATTATCGGGCACCACTGAGAAGAGATTGTCTCCTTCCCCTTGACACCCACCCCTCGGATATTTATATATGTTAATAAGGTCCCCTCTCAGCCGTCTCCGTTCAAGGCTAAACAGCCCCAGTTCTGTCAGTCTCTCTTCGTAGGAGAGATGTTCAAATCCCTTAATCATCCTTATAGCTCTCCGTTGGACTCTCTCTGGTAGGTCCCCGTCTCCGTTGAATTGGGGAGCCCAAAACCGGACACAGTATTCCAGGTGTGGTCTCACCAGGGCAGCAGAGCAAATTTGTTCGGTTTTACCATTGGACAGATATATTTTATGGGGTTGTAAGTAGTACACCGAAGTATGAGATATTAGTAAGATGTCTTTTTTAGATGGTTTTAAATGCACCATCTCAGTTGTTTCAATTTATTTGGTTTTAATTTATCACGAAATTGGAAAGACTTAGATTTAGAGTTTTTCTGCAGTGCATGTTTTTGTAACTACTTTGTTATCTGGAGAACTTAGTTAAATATTTGCAAGTGTAGGAAAGAAACATTATTGACTCTGAAACATGGCAAGTAAAGATATGTTTTGCTCTGTTTTTCTACCTTTAAAAAACCCACAGTATTTATCATAGGTTAACTCAGTTGCTAGAAGGAAGTTTAAACCGTATAATTCTGTCAGAATACTATGAACATTGCTTGGGGTTGACTTGCAGATTTATTGTCTAACTTAATTCACAGCTATCAAAATTGAATGGTCTATTTTATAGCTCGGGTAAATGAATCTTTTCCTTATCTGCCTCCTCTTTTTGACATGCAATTGTTTTGTCCTCCACAACTAAGAGATGAATTATTAGGTAGTGGCACTGTGTTATGATATACCACAGATACAGGAGGATTTGAAAGCACTTTCTATTTAAAGGATACTGTCAAATGTTGAAGGCCATAACATTCATCTTCCTGCAGGAAGGAAAATCCCATCCAGCATTTCTGGAGGGTGCCGTTTTAAATATCTATTTTTAAATATCTTGCAACTGTAAGGCTTTGTTTTAGTGGTAATGTGTTAAAAATTTCAGTGGCTTAGGGTTGTTAAAAGGCCATGTTAAGAGCTTAATGCCTGTGTACCTATAGCTTTCTTTCGAAGCATATCTATGGGAATAATTCACCCCCTTCCTCAGAGAGGCATCAGTTCTCAAGTTTCAGTCTCCCTGCTGTTGCTGGGAGCAGTCTCTAAAACTACTGTAAAAGAGAACTAAAGGAAAAAAACCCTGTGTTTTTCAGTTAGTTAGCAGAACCCTGTATCTTGTTACTTTCATTAGTATTAGAAGAAAGAGCAAAGCTTTCTTTTTATGAACTTTTACAAGCAGGAGAGAAAGAATGAATGAATCGTAAAATATTTCTATAAGTCCTGTTTGTGAATTTTAAGAACAAGAGTAGTAACAAAACTTGCATTAATGCTTAATTTTTCTGATATGACTAGCACCAGTTTTTAATGGTTCATTTTAAGCCCTGGGAGCAGACAAGTGCTGTGTGTAATTGCTTCCCTTGCACAACCACACATTCTTTTCGAACTCTAGCACTCTCATCCTACATTGTAATACGGATCTAATTGTTCAATAGAATATATTTAGGTGAAGTAAATAGGCTTTCCTGTTTTCAGTACCTGTGGAAGCTAGATTATTGCTTCTTTAAATCTCAAGAGGTGAGAAAGGCAAACATACACAGCAGTACTCCCTCTGTGTTTCCAGTCTGGGGAAATTCTCTGCCTGCTGTTGGAAAAGGAACTGGAAAGAGGGGAACTGTTTTCCTTTGAGACTTTGAAGATGAGGAATGAGTCTGATTACGATCAGCAAGTCAGAAGGCAAAAACTTTGCCCTGTGTAGTGTTGATGTTTCCTGAAGTATTCTGTTAATGTTACCTGGTTCAGAATTCAGGATGTTGATAAACGTGAAAAATTACTAGACATGCAGCTCCTGCCAAATGTCTTGACTGTGGAAGGTCAATACGTACGTTATACTGCCAATGTTTCCTGATCATTAAATACTTGTGATTTCTTTAGGGACACTATGGTGGTGATGATGTCTTCCTGAGGATTGAAGTTCACAAAATTTAATCTGAGGTTTGCAGCTGAATTTGGCATTACAAAATGACACTAGGCAATGTAATAGAAATAGAATGCAAAGGAATGTCACCTCTTGGAAAATGTTTTCGTACTCTGTCAGATTTTATACGAGTGTCAGTAAATTACAGTGAGAGGCTGTACAGAAGGAGATAGAGTAAAAATGCATTGGAGGCTTAGAGTTTCCAGATTTATTTATTTTTAAATAATACTGCATTTATCATCACTTTAAGTTATTACATATTACCTTATTTTTTCAAGTGTATTTTATTTCTAAAATATATTCACAAGTTTGGGGAAAATCAAGAGGGCTTTTTTTTTTTAAAAAACAGAGCATTACTGGAGTGCTTCTAAAAAGGGTACTAAGTCCATGTGTGCTTAAAATGCTCTTACCCAAAATGACCTGTGTGCCCACATAAATCCTGATTTCACTGAGAAATCAATCCAGGCTAAGCACACTGTGATTTCAGGGGTTTCTAAAAGCAAGCGAGGAGATATCTTTATTTCTGAGTAAACAGTTGAACAAATTTTTAATTTGTTGATCTCCACACTCAAACATTTTAGGGCTCTTCATTCCTTTGAAGAATATCTTCTCTGTTAATCAGTTTATCTGAAATATGCAATTGAGATTTCAGCCAAAGGGCTGAAATACTAGTCCTTTGAAATAAACGAAAGCATGTGAAAACTTCCTGTTATAGGATGCTTTTGATTCCCAAAACATGTCTTGAAACTTCTATTAGGCCATTTTCTGTTTGAATATTAGAACAAAAAGAAAAAAGTGAATAGCTAACACTCTGTTAGTTATCATTAAAGTAGTATAGAAAAATGCTTGTATCAGAAGCAGAACGATTTAGGACCTATTTACTAGTTTCTAGACAAAACTTTCAGTGAAGCATGAAAAATTTCAGCCCAGGTCAACAATTTGTAGTATACATAAAAGGCAACAGAATTTTCTTTATAACCTTTATAGCTTAAGATGTTAAGTATTGCCTTGAGGTAGTAATGAGAACGGTTTCTTTTCTATTTCTGTTTTCTTGTAGACATTTCAGTCTTTTAATGGTCTGATTTGACACATAGGTTACAGTTATCAGTGCTTCTCTAAGTTGCAATTTTATACTCATAGGCTGGAGGAACTGGCTACAATTTGTGCTAATTACGACATTCCCCATATTGTCAACAATGCATATGGAGTTCAGTCTTCAAAATGTATGCACCTTATCCAGCAGGTAGGAGTTGTGTATTTCTAATAATAAATTTTCTAACGAGTATAAGCAAATCTCTGATTGTAGACAACACTAGCGAATTTTCAGGTGTTTCACAGCTTTGAGGCTAATCCCATGCGTGTTTGATATTTGAACGATTTTCTGAGAAAGTGAAGCAGAGGGAAATAGAACTCAATATTTATTATTTCTATTACGTGCCTTTTATGTAATAAACCCAAATTAATTCAGATTTTGTTTATGTTAAGTGTCTTTCAGAATGGAAAAATATCCTTAATAACCTTTCTTAAAATATTTCCTAAACTTGTTGACTAAAAATAAAATAATGGATCATACCTGAATAGAGATTAAGCCTTCAACACAACGTGAGTTACAGATTTTCAGGTGAAGATACAAGATCCTACAGCAACACTTTATAAATGTTGTCACTGTTAAAATATTGTTGGCACAGAACAGAGCTACTGAACTTGGATGTAGTTCAGTGTTATGTTCCAACCAGTTTAATTTCTGTTGCTGTTTAGTTTGAAGAAGAGGTTGCTTTAATATCTAAGATCAGCCATGAAACTTAGAATTCTTGCATTTTTGTTCGTTGCAATATATGGGCACTGTTTCTTCAATATTTTGCTTTTCTCTCTGTTGCCTGTATCAAAAGAATAGGGGGATATTTTTTAACGGGATCCTGAAGTATTATGAATTTAAAATATGCTGGTCATTTTTTTCTAATTAAGAAGACATGTTATTAATGAGGCACAGACCAGTTATGACAGGAACACGTTGACATTTCTAAATCTTGAGAGATTTGAAGAAATTTGACAAAACTTGAAGTAATATGTGAAATAGAAAATGACATATTCTTGATTTGTAATGTACTTGGTACATGTTTATTGTATTTAATGTGCAGAAGTTTGGTGAAATTTTCATGTGAAGGGGCTGTGGAATTGCTGAGTTTTACTGCATGAGATGTACCTGATGATAATCTTTTCAGACTCTAAAGCTACAAATAGAACTGTTACTGTGTTGGTTTTTGTGGTTTTTTTTCTTGGCTTCTTGATAGGTTGTTTGAGGGGTTTTTTGTTTGTTCTTTGGTTATGAAATGTATACATTTGAGCTCTGATTGGTTTACATTTATTTATAAAAAATTATTTCCTGCAATAGCAAATGTACTGTCTATGAGGAAGTAGTTGTTAATAAATACTTAGGAATTTGTACATGCTAAGCACGAAGTGAGCAGAATTTGCAAGAATTATTGCTGGAAAGAGCTTTTGAGACCATTTCATTTGTCATGCTTTTCTCTGGCGGTCTCCTGCCAATTAAATCAAATGGCAGCTGCTGGCATTCATCTTCTCATCAAAAAGCTGACAAATTCGGAGTGCTTTTTCCTATCTCCCATGCACTAAGCTATTAAAACGTAGAAATAGTAACTGTGGTTGAGTTGGATCTGCTTTTTTAACTCTTTTTGCCATAGGTATTAACTCTGTTTCTATTTCTTGGGTTTAGTTTGTAGTACTTAATACGTACGTATTTTAATATACCTTAAATACGTATGTTCTTTGATACACTTTTCAGGTTCTGTTATACTGTGTACTTTTTAATTGTACAGTTCATAGTATTGTATTACTAAAATTGAAGATGTACTGAAGAATCTACATTTTTTTTCTTTAAGAATATCTGAGTGGCTGGGTATAATGACATTTTGTTTTCTGGGAAGTAGGGAAATCTACTATAGGAAGTTATCTGGATTTATCACAGCCCACATTTTTATTGCAAATTTATACTTGTATCAAGACCTTTTTTTTGCTAATGAAGAGCTAACCTGTAGCCCTTTACTGTGAGAATCTGAACTGCTTTGGGTTGGACAGTTTTAACTGTGTAATTTCCATTAAATTCTGAGGGTTTTCTTTTTTTTGTTGTTTAATATAAACTGCACTTAGATTTGCAGGAACTAAAATCACTATTATAAATCAGAGCAAAATAGGTGTTTGTAAGGTATTGTGTAAGCAAACAATGGCAATAGTAGTGAGCATTGCTAAGAAAAGGTAATACTATGCTTTTCATTTTTTCGTCACAAATAAAAATCTGAGAGTTTCAGGAATTGTATTTATTTTAGTTATGCTGCTGTGTAATGATGATGCTGTCACATGTTTCCTTCTTCCTAATGTGCTGTGTATTTTTTTTGTTGTTGTTGTTCCTTTTTGATAAAGGGTGCTCGAGTAGGCAGAATAGATGCTTTTGTTCAGAGCTTGGACAAAAATTTTATGGTTCCAGTAGGTGGTGCTATCATTGCTGGCTTCAATGAGTCCTTTATTCAGGAGATCAGCAAAATGTATCCAGGTAACTAGTTCATGAACTGATTTCATCCATACAAAATAACTGTAGAAAACTTGATTATCAGCTTCCTTTCACATAAAATTTATTTTTGCCAATTTAATCTGTATATTATCTTTTTTCAGGAAGAGCATCTGCATCTCCTTCCTTAGATGTCCTCATTACACTTCTGTCTCTGGGCACCAGTGGCTACAAACAGTTACTGAAAGAAAGAAAGGTGAGCGTTTTGGTAAGCAGCACTTCCTTGAAGTCGGCTGTTAACAGTGTCTTGTTCAAAACTGCTTTGTGTAGTAAATTCAGTTTTGGTCCAGAAAGTCGTTGAACTGAGCTCCGAGCTCTGAATCTGGATATAATTACTTCTTGGCTAAACAGCGTGCATGAGTAAGCATGATTTCCATGTTGTTTTCCAAACCAAAAAAGCTAAACTGAAGTCCTGTACTATGTTGTATAGTATTGATATTTGTTGTTCTAATTTGTTGTGGCTAATGCAGTAGAATTTTGCCCACAAAAACTTAATCAGAGTAGTACTGTGGTGTGTTACTGTGGTCACACTGCTTGCAGGACTAAAGCATTAGATCAGATACTCAGAGGTAACCCAAGGGGTCTCTGTTCTTCTTCATGTGGCCCTGTTGTGCTTTTGTGCTATGATAGTGTTTAATTAAATGTTTGTCTGCCACATTCTCTGGAGAGTCACAGCTTCTGGTTAGGCTATAAATACTGTGCGTGGCCACAAAGAAGAGAAATACTGTCCTTTAGGGTACTCACCTAGATACAGAGCTGTATTTCTTTTCTGCCTCTCACAGACTATGTGTTTTATGTTGGGTATAACTTTATTGCACAGGCATTCACGTGGTCTAAGGTTGGAACCTGTACATCTTGAGTTGTCCTTAATTCTAGACGTAGCATTCTACCTTTGTATGTTAACACAGAGGGTTCTTTTTGTAGGGGGGTTTAAGTTAGGAAATGCTGTGAATTGAATACCGTTAAGTCAATGGTTTTCAATCGTGCACGATCTGTTCCATTATTCTGTTCCGAAACAATGTTCCAATTGCTTCCCGCTGACAGCTTGCGGATGTCTCTGATTACCTGGCAGGGCAGTAGTGCTGGATGCTGTAACTAGTTTCTAGCTGCTTGGAGAGGCATCCAGAAATTCTGTACTGGAATCGAGACCCCATAGGAGTAGCTCAGCTAGAGAAAACCAAACCAGCTTGATGGCCTTACGGTGACTAAGAAGTGATCTGTGCACCCAAAATGAACACATGGCTTATGAAACACTGAAGGCAGTTGGCACTTTTGCCACTGCTGCGTTACAGTTTCTAACATTTTATTCTGGGCTATTGTATAAGTTTGCTGTGTATCGTTTCAGTCTTCATTAAAAGCAAACTGTATTTTTCCCCATTCACTCTTATCTCCAAAAGAATCTCAAGTGAATTTATTGCATCTTCTGCAAAGCTGATTTTGTATTAGATTTACACTGGTAGCAGCTACATAATGGGCAGTATAAATATTCTCTAAGTCATAATTTTTTTTTGTAAAGAAAATGTCTTAATGAATAGATGTATATTTTGGATCATGTCATTTTCTTAGAAGTAGAATTCGGAAGTGAACAAAGCATTACATTTTTACAACTTCAGGTCTTTTTATTTCAAATGTGAGTATACTCTATAAACGCAGCCTTTTATATGACATAAATATGTTTCTTTTATTGGATTTGCTGTAGAAATAGGAACCTTTTTTTTTGTTTAAATCTGTTTGTTCCTGAATTGTAAAAATGTAATAGTGATAGTTTATTGCCTGTGCTCTGTGAAAGCAGAGGCAGAGCTATTAAGCACCCAGCAGGAGCTATTTATAGCTTGACATTGAGTACTCCTTTCTATATCAGTGCAGCTACACCTACTCACGCAAAAAGTCAGCTATAAAAAAACTTCTCTTTTTTTTTTTTTTTTTTTTTTTAACCTTATCTTATTCAGAAGGCTGCTACTTTGGGTTACTTGAGCTCAAGCCAGAAAGACCCCACAGTATTACTGAGAAGAAATTAATCTCGCACAACCAAAGGAAAGAAATAGTCTGCCCAGTTTTTCTTTTACACGGGTGAACTGTTTAATACAGGAAAGGAAGAGATAATATGAGAGTGAGGGGCATGTATGTGGAGTGGGATTTTCTGACAAGCTGGCAGTGTGGTTGTCCAAGAGTGCAAGATAATTATATTAATATTATGATATGAAGGAGTAAAATTGTACAATGGATCTGAGGATAGAAGAGCGAAGGGAGTAACACACACATGCTTTCCAAGTGTCTGAATAAAGGTGACCATGTATGAAAGCTTAATGAGGAATGTTTTCAACAGTCCTATTATCCCTGATGTTTCCAGTGAAAAGATGGAAGATGACCACCAACAGTAATGTTTTCTCACTTATTCTAAATTTTCAGTATTCCTTTTTATATGTTTATGTGGTGTTCAGAGCAGTGGGTTTCTGATCTCAGCAGGGGATTCTAGATCCTTTCATAATGAAGATAACGGCAGTTGATTCATAGCCACATTTCTTAATATACTTGCTTTTAAAGAGCTCATAATATTATGTAAAGGTTATGTTTTCTTAGTCACTCCTTTGATTTCCTCAGTGCAAGTTATGTTGTGTCACATATTCTGCCTTACCAGGTCTTAAAAATATTTTCATGTCTGTATTTGTGTGTCTGCATCAGGCCAGCTGCAGCAGATACAGCGGTTACACGTGTTACAGCATAAACAGTAGACTTCAGTTGTCACCTCAGAATTGATGGAGAGCAAGGATCCTACATTCAGGGTTTATGTTCAGGACCCTACATATCAGTTCTAATACCTGTTAGCTATTTTCTGATGTGGTCAATGTAATTAATCATTATACTGATACTATGGAAGAGAAGATGGCTTCATTTTTTTTTTTTTTCAATGCTTAGAGATTTCCTCATTAAACTTTTCTTAACAGTCTCACAATCAAGATAATTCTGGTTTCCTTAAATGTATTTCTGTGTTACTTGGAGCTTTTTATATCTATATCCATCTGTCTATATACCTTCTAAGAGAGACTAACTGGAGTAATTTTTATGTCCTTATGGAGTATGTATGTAAAATATTTAAAATCACGAGTGGGAGGAAGTTGTTTGGGTTTTACAGTTCACTAAAATACAGGTTTTACATTTCATGCTTTATCACTGATGTAATTGTTCTGACAGGAATAAGTTATTTGTACAGTTCAGTGTGAGTTTGTATTGTCACTCTACTTATGATTGAATTGAAGAACAAGAGAAAAGCCATTCAATGCTGGATATTAAAAATGTAAAAAAAATCAAATACTTGTACAGTAAGATAGACATTTGTTACTCTTTATTTTTTGTCTAGTCAATTTGCTACATTCCTGTGGGAATATTGCAGGTTCTACCTGTGTGAAATACATGGAACTGTATTGAAATTTTAGAGTGGCTGGAGGCAAGATAGGTTAAATGAATGCAATCATTTTCTTAAAAGGGGTTGTGTAGTTAGACAAGTGCCAGTTACTAATGGAAGCTTCAAAAAGGCCTCCAATTCTTAAAATGTGTATTGAAGAAGTGTGGCCCACAAGGACCCTGCTCTCAAGATCTTGCAAGAGCTGAGGAGAAAATGTGTTGATCGGTTGTGTTAAGAAAAACCTTTAAAAAAAAAATCCAGCTAGGATAGTTTCAAGTGCGCACAAAAGTTTTCTGGCTTGTGTCAGTTGTCTCTCTGTCACTTGATACGGGACTAATGATGTATTTAGTACACCCATCTTCAGCTTTTTTTCTGGAGCTACTTACTTGTTACCTGGTTTCTTGTTTTCTTCACAAGAAGAATGGTGCGTATCACAATGGAGCAACAGATGAAGTCACTCATATTAGTGTAGGTTCTATTAAAAATAGTTTTCTAATGTAAATACAGTGTGATTCAAATACTTCTTATAATGGTTACAAAGCTTCTTGAAAATATTTTTGTGCATGTATGTCGAAGTAACCCATTTTGTTCAAATAATTCTCATTTGGTATCGTTGCTGACCTGTTCTTTCTGGTTTTTGAGGTATTTTTTTTTAGGTGCTGCAAAGACCAGAAGTGAAAGGCATTTCCACACAGATTAGCATTCATTTCACTAGCCTGATGAGGTTTTGTGATAAGTTTCTGTGGAGAAGGAGTGAATGAAATAATGAAACTTAGCTGACATTTAGGCCTCGGGTTGTTCAGTGCAACTTTAGCATAATAGCATCATTGGAGAAAATTTGAGTGCCTACCACAATTTTGAAAGAGTTTGTTGTTGTATAATTTCTTAGGGTGTTTATAGATTTTCCACATAACAGAAATATTTTATAATAGAGGTTGGTTATGGATTTGACCTCACAAAAATATTGTTTTTTTCCTTTTTTGGAAAAACTGTTACTTTATTTTGTGAAAAACTGCTCAGCTTCTGAAACTGTAAAATATCTAGAGGGCTTCCAATGGAAAGGTGCAAAGTAGTGTCGTTCATAAAAATAAAAAGTTTTGAATTTGTGTTCAAATAGCTTCAGTCAAACTTATGAAGACATGTACTACTTTTCCCATCTTTTTGTTCTCTTTTGTTTTAAGAAATTTCTATGTATATAAAGACTCATCTTGTGGCCTAGGTATTTAATCCTAATTTAATTTAATACATTTATACAGTGGGTGATGTGTTATACCAACTTACAGTCCTTTCACTAATAAATACTGTAAGAGATGGAGCAGAGAATTCCTTAGGTAGAACACATAAAAATTAATTACTTGGGAATTTGTTCCTGTTCCAGTAGAGGTTTTTCTCAGTACTAATTTTACCAATAATATCTCCACAGTAGACCAAATTTATGTATATTTCTGTAATGCTTTGGTTCAGTTGTAAAAGGAGATGGCCAGCAGAGGGAGCACAAGTTAATTTATGATTTGAAAGAGCAAAACCCCAGCTAGTAAAATGGCTAACGCTGTGATGGTGCTTATTGTGGAAAGCAAATAACAAATGAGCAATCTGTTCGATGAGAGACCAGAAGGAAGGCAAAAGTGTCTAAACATTTGAAATAAAAATGTTTTTCAACTTATGCATGTGAACTGTAAATAAACTCTGATGAGTTGAAACCATAAAATCACTTGATTTACAAATGCCTTAGAAAAACATGAATGATTTTTCACAAATTTCAAGTTCTGGTAATTAACCATAGGGGCCTCGTCAAATTTTTTTTGTTTTCCAAGTGTTAGAGAAGCTTTATGCTCTCGTTGTTAATCAGTAGCTTAATCCATTTAGACACTAAGGTGGTATCTTTTCCTCCCTGGCCAAATTCATTCTATGGTTTTAGAAAGAAGAGTTCAGGAGCTGTGTTCATTTGGTCACTCATGAAATGAGACTGTGTTCGTTGCTGTGGCTTGAGAAAAGCAGTTGTAACATTCTTCTAACTTAGCTACCACGAGGCTCATTCGGTTTTGTAAGATCTTTGTGAGGTTCTGCTCAAAATATAATTTTGATCACTAGCTATAATTTGTATCTGTCAGAGTCCACAGATCGGAACAGGAATGCTAGTCTACCAACAGAAGAGGCAACTCTATTTAAAGAATGAAAAATCACTTGTCAGGTCCAGAAATTGATGAGGATGCTTAAACAGGCAGTGACATTGAAGCAGATGAGCAGCACAATCTTTATGGCCAGAATGAGGAACAATCTGGTTTTAGTATCTTTTAAAAAGACTACCCAGTATCTGTATCTCTTTGCTAGTTTTTATGAGAGACTAAAAATGATGGGAAAGAAGCCAAAGGATACAATAAGAAGAACAGAGTTTATTCTCATTCTGTCCGTAAGGGTTTTGAGCTGGTATGTGAAGAGGATGGTATTAAACTGATGAAGAGCATGAGCAATTATCATAAATTACTGCTGGGGAAGAAAGAGGAATTAAAATACGAATGAAGTAAGAGAAGCAACCTTTTATGTGCAGCATGACGTGTGTTGAAGCCAAAATATTTACGAATCTCAGTTTTATGTCACTTTCACAATAAAGGTGCAATCTAATTAAGTGATAAAAGAAGGGAGATATCTTAATTTAATTGGCTTGAACAGGAAGGGTTGGTCCCAGGAAGAGGCTGGGTACACAGCAGAGCCAAGTATTGAGGAGAGTATGTATTGAGTGAAACAAAATGCATTCAGCTGTGCGCTCCCAGCCTTCTCCTTAGAAGAGACCTTATGGACATTTATAAGTATCTAAAGGATGAGTGCAGGGAGGATGGAGCCAGACTCTTCTCAGCAGTGCCCAGTGACAGGATAAGAGGCAAGGGGCACAAGCTGGAACACCGAAAGCTTTGTCTAAATATAGCGAAGAGCTTCTTTACTGAAGGGGTGACAGAGCACTGGAACAGGCTGCCCAGGGAACTCCTGGAGTCTCCATCTTCAGAGACTTTCACAACCCGCCTGGGTGCGTTCCTGGGTGATATGCTCTGGGCAATCCTGCTTTAGCAGCATTGTTGGACTAAATGATCTCTGGAGGTCCCTTCCAGCTCTGACACTTCTGTGATGAAGAGACTGTCTTGCCATTCCCATACATAAAAAGACGTCTGTGCACTAGCGATAATTGTGGTTGTGTGATACAGGCTAACACAATGCACTGCTCTTAGTCTGGAATGTATTAACAGAGAGAAAACACAGCAAGGAGCAATTTGCCACCGCGTGGCCATCTGTGAAGGCAACAGTTCGTTCTCTGGGGCTCAGGGGCTTGGGGAGGGGGAACCTCTTGCAGGAGTGGGGGTGGGGAGGGCTTGCCGTGTGGTGGGAATCTGTTCAAGATTTTACCTTGCTGGGTTTTAGGGTCAGAGAGAGGATGAGTGACATCCCAGGTGAATATATTAGACGAGCGAGAGAGCTTCGGACCAGCTTGAGCAGGGAGACTGGTGTTCAGGAAATGGAGCTGTTCCTTTACAGAATGATTTCAGAGAATTGTCTGGTTCGCTTACTTGGTACACATGAAAAGAGGATCAGCTGGGCACCTGTAGGGTATAATGGAGATTTAACAGTTTTGTGAAATAGGTACTATTTTCTCTGTTTGATAGCTAATAACAAAAATATTGCGCTTTTTTTTTTCCCCAGGAAATGTTTTCCTATCTTTCAAGTGAGCTGAAGAAGCTGGCAGATAACCACAATGAGAGACTGTTACACACACCACATAATCCCATTTCCTTAGGTAATTGTTGTTTTTTATCTTTTAAAAAAATGCTAATATACCATGCATCCATAATGCACTTTGGTGTACAGTTCCTATATATTTAACATTGTTCACTACACTCCATTAAGTTGTTCTTAGGCTGATACGAAACCACTGAACCCAATAACATAACCTACTATAACAGTAGAGTAGTGACTTGGGCCCCTTTTTTTTTTTTTCTTTTTAAAAATTGCTCATGTCAAACACTCAATTATTGTAATCAAGGCAGTCAGAAGACAAACATGTAGTAATACTTTATTAAAAAATAAATTTAAAAATAAGTTATAGTACAGTTATTTTTCCTATCATCTTATAGTGCTAGAGGTTATGGAATTCCTAGCCAACATATTTGTTCTAACCAAAAATTTTGTTGAACACCAAAGTAATATTGCGTACATGCCACGAGTCTGCTTTACACTCAGCCTAATCAAAGGAGTAATCTATGACAGCTTGTGGAAAAATTAAAAATTATGAAATATGGTATTTGTATTCCTTTTTCTCTTTGTATCTGAACACAAATATTTTACTAGATCTTTGTAGCTGGAAAACAGCTTGTCCTCTGTGGTTCTTCTTTGGAGAAAAAGAAGCTTTGTAGTTGTTTTAACCTGACCTTTTGTTGCTTTAGCCATGTCACTGAAGAATCTAGATGAAAATAATGCTGCTGCTGTTACTCAGCTTGGATCTATGCTTTTCACAAGACAAGTTTCTGGAGCAAGGTGAGGACGCTATGAATTTGAACAATTAGGGGGGTTGCATTAGCATGTATTTTATTAAATTTACAGTGTTTGTTTTGTACCACTTGTCTCATGATTACAGATTACAGTCTGATAAGTCCCAGAGTAATACCCCCTTCTCCATCACTGTTACTTACTAATCATGTCTACCTGCCTGAGTCTGCAATGAGGCCTCCTTTGATAGCTTTAGTAGGCTAAATAGATAATCTATGCCCATTTAATTAAGTGTCGTTAGTCCCTGGTACCCCTTGGTTTAATTTAGTTTCCAACTGTTGTCTGATCTTACAGTGAAGTTGTAAGCTGCTTAGGGAAGATCTTTGTTTTGTTTATGGCAGCACAAATATGGCTGTGCTAGATGTCAGGGGAATAAGCTTTTAATACCCTATGGTAGCCTTTTTTCATACGGAAGAAAATCCTGCTTTCTGGAACTAATTATGCTTAAAATTATAAAAAAATCTACGACCTGAGCCAGTCTGAGCTGAACTTATTCTTAGAAACACTGGCAGGTGGAAATGCAAGACAAATATTTTTTAATGATTTTGGTTTAAACCTTTTAGAAGAAGAGAATGATTTAAAATTTGTTTTGGCAGGATTCCTTAATCTGAATATTACTGCTGCCATGCTAACTTCTGCCATAGACTTAATGTCATTTTTTTGTAGCAGAGCTGAATGTTTCCACATCAGAAGGTATGCTTCATTAGCTTGGATTATTCTGCTTCCTGCACAGATGAATGACAGTAAATCTATATGTGCTGTAGTTAGATGGTCTTCTTAATTTTCCTGTCCTAACCTTGACTTGTCCTGCAATTTCAGCCATCTTTGGCTGAAGTGACTCAAGTGGTTCAATTTTTGAAGTTAAAACTTTCCAATTCTTTGTCTCATACAAAGGTTTCAGGTTTTTTCCATTTTTTTAATTTTTTTTTTTTTTTTTTTTTTTACATAAGCAAGTAATTCCTCAGTATATGCACTGTCTGACCTGGCATTTCAACAGATTTTAAATGTTCTACCACTGACATTCAGCACAAGTAAGAACTGCAACTCCCTACTGCAGTAGCATGCTGGCTTTTGCACAACCTGTGGTCAGAGCATGTGGACAGTGGAAGTTTCTGCTAATCCTCGTGGTATTTGTCTAAATGCAGTTTCTTTTATGAACTGCAGAGAATGTCTTTATAGAGGTCCTAAATTCTTGTAAATTGATTGTCGTTAACTGCTTGTGTAGGCTTTAACTATAGCCACAAGGGGAATTGTTCCTCTAACAGGTAAGGATGTGGATTAAGGTCTTGATTTATCAGGGAATGGATATGTGGTGAAAGTGCTGAGGAATAGGGTATAATAGGTAGAAGTTCTTAGTATGAGGAAAGGGGTAAAAGCAGTGGCAGGAAGTATCCACTACAAGGAGAGAATGCACACGAGGTCAGCATCATAGGATGGGGGAAAAGGGAGATGCAGTAGAGACAAAGGGTTAGGAAGATGTTGGGATCTTGAGCCCTTTAAATCACTGGAACCCAGACGTTTTGGACTGCATACACCGTGCCGAGCAGATGTCTGCACTAAGGCTGCTACTGGTATGGTGATTCTGGGTCTTCTCCAGGCTGACCAACCCCAACTGTCTCATCCTGTCCTCATAGGGTGGGTGCTCCAGCCCCCTTATCATCTTCTTCACACTCTTTTGGACCTGCTCCAGGAGGTCCAGGGGCTCCCGAGCTGAGCGCAGTACCACAGGTGGGGTCTCACGAGAGCAGAGTAGAGGGGAAGAATCACCTCCCTCACCAGACTTGAGCTGATTCAGGCTCTGCTGCCACTGTCTCTTGTAGCGATGCTTGGGCACTAACTTGGAGAAACCTGCTCCGAGCCTGCTTGCTTTAACTTTAGAGTTAGCAGATAGTATAGAAACTTGGATAAATGTGTTCATCATAGGGTATCGCATAAAACGTCCAAGACATCTTTAACTGAATCACAATTTTGTTTGTTTGTTTCAGGGTTGTTCCCTGTGGGTCTGTACAAACAGTGAATAACTACACTTTTAAAGGCTTTATGTCCCATACAAACGACTATCCCTGCGCTTACCTCAATGCTGCCTCGGCAATTGGAATAAAAAAGCAAGATGTAGATGTATTTCTAAAAAGACTCGACAAGTGTTTGAAGGCTTCTAAAAAAGAAGCAAAGAAAGAAAACAGTGTAAATGAAGTAAGAAATTCTAATACAGGCACAGAACAACTGGAAGACTAGAAGATACAGGTCTAGCAACACAGGAAGATACGCTTTTTTTTGAAGCAGTCAGATTTGTATTGGGCTAGCATTGGGAATCTGCAGTGCAGAAAATTTATTCCTCATCTGAAAACAGGAACAACAACATGTTGGGTGAAATTCAACTTTAAAGAAAGTAGGTGATACTCTCTCCAAGACAGAGGGCCAGACAAAATTTTCTTGCAGCATATAAATGTGCTTGATACCTGCTGCAGTAAAGCTTTACATTCATAAAACTTTGAACTGGTCTTTCAGTCTGTGGGTGACTGGACAGCACTGAGCAAACTGCAGAATGTTTATCCACATGGTTTTGATTAACAAGATATTCTGTGGCAGTGATTGAATTTCTTCCTGGG